GGCATGAAGGTCTAGTCAGAGACATATTAGAGGCAGAAACAGGAGTTAGGAGGGGTAGAGGTAGACCTAGGTTAGATTACTGTTCACAAATAGTTAAGGATTAGCTCAGGATAGGAAAAAGTGGAGGTACGTGTCCAACCAGTCTTAGGACTGACGACCCTATGATGATGATGTATATTTTTCTTTAGACTCTTAATATTCTGGATATTAGAAGTGCAAAACTAAATTGAACCATTATATTACATATTAACATTATTCTAAATTTATTGATATTAATTACAAACTGGCCAAGAAAAACACCATCGGCAATGCGAACATATTTTAAATAACAATAACTCAGTCTCTAATATAATAACTACGCCAGCATTGCAATTAAAACTAAAAATAACTTTAAATTGAGAACAATATATCAATTAAATTTGCATTATTACTGAATATTCAAAACAAACATTTAATATAAACACATGCGTTATAATTATCCAGGTAAATTATTTGATTATTTTTAACTTTTTAAGAATATGGTGGGAAAATTAAACCCGGTAAAGATATTTAATGAAACAAAACACGACGTTTCATATTTGGGTGGAAGGCTTTATTGAAGCAACAAGGAATCATAAAAAGTATTAGGAATGCTTTTCGTAATTCCTAATACTTTTTGTTGATTCTTATTGTAATCTTAATCAAGGGTACCAAAATGCAAATTGTCATGTCGGCTTATTAGATAAACTCCTTTTAATCTCGTCCTGGCGATGATCTAGATCCTATATTACTATACTATAAGTACAGAAAATCGTTTCACAGCTCTCATCACATTATTCTCAAACGAGTGTTCAAATATGGACATACAGTGTAAACTCTATATAACGAACTGTTTACCGAAAAATTCAAAAAAGTAGAAATTATTTGACTCGGGTAGGTTTATTATTTATCCATATATTGATGCTCTCTATTTAACGTATAGCATGGACTCTCATAAGCGGCAATAATAATAAACATTTATTATTGGTTTGGAAACGCTTTCTAGGTTGTTGAAATTGATAAGAACTACAGCAGTAGTTGTAGATATCAATCCATTTTATTGCCCAGCACATGTTTACCTCGGCTATCGTCATAGTACCTTACAGGAAATTCCTTCTTTATTTATTGGAATTGCTTGTAAATTACACTGTACTTGTAAAAATTTTTACACGTCATTGTGGAGTGTTACTTTTTTCTACTCTCCATTTGACGGAAATCCTCAAAACGAAATAAAATAGTTAGTGTTTTAAGTTTTCTCATATAGAGTTTACACTGCATTATCCCTTTATATTTTATAGTCCGTAGGTACATGCTTTGAAATATCACTATGTAAAATTAAAAAGGAAGAAATTAATGAAGAATATCTCGGGTTTCTTTACGCGAGACTGTACACCTACGTATTGTATACTTAAAAATGCAAATAAATTAATAACACACATAAATACTAACTCGTTACTCTTATCGCTAACCACCGCAAACAAGACCACCTAAGTAAAATGTAAGCAAAATCTGAACGTATCAGGAGCAGTATTTAGTGACAAAAACCATTCTTCTCGAATTTTAATTTACGGGCACAGGAGACCGATAAGGTGTAATGTTACAATGTTACTGCGTGGCGTAACCACAAACATTTTGCATAATTATTGCCTCTTGGCTACTGCGATTTCAAATCATGTAAAGATATACTTACATGCATAGGTACGAGTACATTCGCAACCAGCTATTTCCTTACTATTGATTACGGTGGTAACAGCACCTTAAATGGAACAAAACATTTTATTTAAAATGTTGGTTAGCAGTTTGTAACATTAAAAATTAAAGTAGCTAATATGTAATCCCTAGATCAAAGAACTCGAAAAAAAAAAAAAATGATGACGACGATTATTCACTGTCGAAATATCCATCGCAGCCATCTTTTGAGCTGCTTAGCCATTATTTTAATTGGTGGCAAGTCATGATCAAATAAAGTGGGTGTTCGGCAAACGTCTATTTTTTGAAATGAAAATCCTCTAGTTGTTGAAGCTATCTGTTTCAGTTTAATTTTAATATTTATTTTAGTCGTTAGAGATAGATTTGCTTATCATTATTCAACCTATTTTATTTTATTATATTCGAAACTTCCATAATTTGAAATGCATACAGGGTAGTCAAATATCTCTTTAATGTTCTTTTGCAAACAATTGTAGTTCGATTTGGTCCCAATGGTCAGGTTCTGCGAAGGTCTTCGACGACGACAACCTTTATTAATTTTATTATCGATGCTCTTCAATTGTATGCAACTTCATAGTTCGAGGCAGTCATACCTTGTTGCGTTTTCCCCTTATTGGCTTCTCGCTGTATTCTTTCGGTTCATACCAGGTATTGGTGCTGGCACCAGAACAATTTTTGATTTTGTCACATAATTTAGAGTTAGTTACGTTTTGTCCTCCTTCTTATTAACTTGCGTTATTAATTCACATTTTTCTTCGTTGTGCCTGTAGTTTTAATCCGTTATTTCATAGTTAATAATTCATTTGTAATTACGGTTTTATATAAACCGACATTTTGAGAAAATACTACTCGCGGTTTCACGGCAAATACTATCAATTGTTTATGTCACTAATTTTTCAATGAAAAGTGTCGGGCTTGAGAAGAGCGGTGCGGGTTTCCGACGTAGGGAGAAGAACATAGAGGATACTGCGACGCGCTCGAGCAGACAGTATTTCATTTGATCTGCTTCCCTAAAGAGCAAGATCCCACAGCCGCTAGACATTATTTATTTTCTAAGTAACAAAACTGGTGGGACAGAGTGGTGCTAGAGTACACTACTACCCGAAATCATAAGCACATTATTGTTGGTTTGTTAGTGTAGGTTGCAAAAATACCTAAATCTTTAATCTTCTGGGAGTCGCGCATCCTGAAAATATGTCGAACTATATTTTAACTCTAGGAGTAGAAAACGAAGAAATGCACACTATGCAAGCAAACTGACTTTTATTCAAAAAGAACAGTTCCTCTTTGTGCAATGAACGAATAATTCAATTGTCTTTATTTTATTAACAGTCCACCATTTACTCCTTTCTGCATCCTGTATAATCATTTGTTCGTGGTAATTCGAAATGAAATAATCATGTATAAAGTAACACGTACTCGGTAAAGATAATTGTAATCATTACCAGTGTTGTATTACAGGATTAATATGTACTGTCTGTTGAACTAATTTTAATATTTATTATTTACGCGACACGTACATTGACCATATCGAATGGATTGCGATAAACCTGATTTAGTATCGAGTTAATTTTACCTTTACATTATTTTGTAATTAATCGCACTTTAACTGATCGATCTACAATGTCTTAAAGATATTCCAATTTAGTGTGACGACTAAGATAAATAGTTATCTGTGAAGTTACGGCTCGAACATTAATTCGCGCTATTCTAATATATTAATATTTGCAGCATCAGTGGAATTGTTGAATAGCCGAGATAATTTACCCAGTGTAACTAATTCGTCGAATCCAAGTGAGTTTTTCAACAAAATCTTTGGGCTTTACGGAAGCTACTTTAGGAGTTGTTCTAAAGATATATGATCAGTAATAAAATGTTTCTACGCTCGAGCTTTTGGACTTCCCATGCGTCAAAAATCTTGAATTGTACAGAGCAGGATGGAAAACAGGGCGGAAGAACTATTAGGGGAAGATCAATTTGGGTTTAGAAGAAATAGAGGAACGCGAGAGGCCATTCTAGCTTTACGGGTAACAATAGAGAAAACGATAGAAAAAGAAATAAGTGCATAGGTACATAGGATCTAAATTTAAAAAAAGCTTTTGACAATGTTAAAAGGGATAAGATGTTAAATATACTTAAAAATGTAGGGATGAGTTACAGAGATAGAAGAGTGATAATTAGATTGTATCAAGAGCAACAGGCAGTTATAGAGCTGGAGCTACAACGTATTAAAGGAGTAAATATTAGGAAGGAGGACAGGGATGCACACTTTAATCTATACATCGAAAGACACTACAACTGTAGGGATAGATATACAGGAGCAATAAATTCGTAGATATGCTTAGATTTGCAGATGATACAGCAGTATTAGCACCTAGCAAGGAGGAGTTAGAGATAGCTTTAAATAACCTGAAAGCGGTATTGACAAAATTGTATGAAAATCAATAAAAGTAAAACAAAAATACTGGTATGCAAGGGAAGAAAAGGTAGTAAAAGAGCGAATATAAAGACGGGAGACGCTAATTTTAGGTATCTAGGAAGTCAGATAAGTCAGGGCGGAAGGAGTACTAAGGACATAAAGCAAAGGATGGCACAGGGTTGAGTCGTCTTCAGTAAAAAGAAGTTATTTCTATGCTAGCGAACGGTTAATTTGGAAAATCGAAAAAGATTGTTAAAGGGGTATGTTTCGAGCGAAATGTGGTATTACAGGCGAATGATGAGGATACCGTGGACGGAAAAGGTTAGAAATGAAGAGGTATTAGAAAGAATAGAACAAGGGACTCGGTAGAAATCAATAAGAAATAGGCGAGATAGTTTGGTAGGTCACCATATCAGGCATGAACGTCTAGTCAGAGACATATTAGACCTAGATTAGGTTGCTGTTCGCAAATAGTTAAGGATGTGGTCGTTCTCGTTTTGAGGAAATGTGAAGATTAGCTCACGATAAGAAAAAGTGAAGGTGCATGTCCAACCAGTCTTAGGACTGACGACCTTATAATAATGAACGTTTTTAGGTGTTGATTTTTGCGCTTTGTTGACTGGTAAAAAACTTTGCAAATTTTGATTACCATCGGACAATAAGGAAATTTAGTGCCATCTGGGGAATTGAATATCGATAAGTCGAAAGCAATAAATACTTAGTAATCACTGTTTTAGTTAGTTATAGCCAATGCTAGCGAGTTAACGACATGCATTAAAATTTCGCAATCGTAACGGACCGCCTGTCGCCCATAAAACTGCATTTTACTTTATTCCATCCCCCTTCCATTGTGACACGGCGGGCGCCCGGGCATACGAGAGAAACTACGATAGAAGTGTCAGTGCCTGGGCTCTCTCGCCGGGCTGGATGCTGTAAAAAGCAGATCTTCGCGAATGTGGAGACAGCTCATTGTGGCGGCAGAGTACTAGTTTTATACGTTACTGCGGAACGGAGCCTAGTCGTAAAGATATATTGCCAGTTAATAGTTACTATTTCCACCTGCATCTGCACCTGCGACCCGCACTTTGGATTAACATTAAATTGCCTATTAATTTTAAAGGAGAAATTCATGGGAAATGACGGTAAAACTTGAACACTGGGATAATCAAACAACATCAATTTAATCTTCATCGGAAGGTCGTCAGTCCCAAGACACGCATCTCCATTTTTTCCTATCCTGAATTAATTTTCACATTTCCCTAAAACTAGAACATTGTCTATCTCTACTCCTCTTTACTCCTGTTTCTGCTTCTGATATGTATAATGTATGATATGAAAATTTATGAGGTTAGATCGTAAAAAGTGTATATGGGCTAAAGAAAAGCACTGAGACCGCCCAGACGTCTAGATTACGTTCCATAACATCATTTCTTCTCAATTAATCTCTATTCGCAACTATTTACAATTCGATTAATTAATATCTCCATTTAAGAAGTAGTCACATACACGAATATTAATAATTACTTCTAAACGTTTGTTTAATTTTTCTCTACATTACATTAACATGTAATTAAATAAGGTAAAAGGTCAGGAGAGGACGGAGAGCAAGTGTACCCCCTGAAGTTTTCTGACGACCGACGGACACCGACCGCACGCACATACTTGCGACAATTTCCTTTAGCGAAAGTTTATGAAACGTTGAGATTATTTATTGTGAAGAGCCCCACCAAGCAAGCGCAACATTAAATCGGTAGATCTCTAGTGATCGAAAATTTTGTCTGTATTATGTGTAAAATTACTATTTGTACGCAAACAAATTAAAAATTGATTGCCACTCGTGGAGATAATAGCGGGGCGGTGTTGTAGAGATAATATCAGAAATAGCCGAAGTACACCTAAAGCAACGTAATAACATAGTTATAAAGAAATTAAAGTTAAATTGATTTGTCAGTTTTCCAGCTCTAAAGCGACAGATTCCGCCATCTTTAAATTGTAATAATTTGCTTGTAATTTAGGAGTGCACCTGTATCGATCTCACAATAAAAAGAAATAATCAGGCAGAGCGGCTACCTTCGCGTAATAATGCAGTTGGCAATCACATATTTCAAGGTCTTTTTACGACCATTAAAACTGAGTAATTTTATGTCTTGTGAAAAGCTTGTTTTATTATGTCTATAGATATACGTGCGCGGCGGAAGAGAAAAAGTTAGAAGCGTTCGAAATGTGGTGTTATAGGCGGATGATGAGGATATCGTGGGTAGAAAAGGTTAGAAATGAAGAATAGGAGAACAGAGGACTCTACGGAAGTCAATAAAAAATAGGCGAGATAGGTCGGTAGGACATCTTCTTAGGCATGAAGGTCTAGTCAGAGACATATTAGTGGCAGAAACAGGAGTTAGGAGGGGTAGAGGTAGACCTAGATTAGATTACTGTTCNATGTTAGTTTAATGCTTACCAAAAATTACCTCGATTAAGAAATTAAAAAAAAAAGTACTTAAATATATTTTTAAAAATCGTAAGTGACCACTTTAAATTTTTTAATTGAATTGATTTTTGGTGAACATTGTTAAAAACATGTTAAATCAACGTATTTTTTGTACCATTCTATCGTGTATGATAATATTAAA